GGGTCCCTACCAACCCGGACGGTGCGGGGAAGTCACCGCTCCAGTCCCGGACCAAACCACACCGGACGGAAGGGCACCGGACCGCACCCCGTCCGGTCCTGTCCGGTCCCGTCCGGTCCGGTCCGGCTCTGTCCCGTCCGGGGGGAGGGTGCCGGACCCGACGAGCCGGACCGGACCGGACGCTCGTCTGGTCCGTATGCTTGCAAGTATGGTGAGAAGTGGTAAATCCTCCTTGAAGGAAGTGATCAATGCCACTGACCCAGATTCAGTGCGTAAACGGCGCTAGGACGCTGAACCCAATTTTCAGCAAAATTAAAGTCACCCCTTTTTGCAGAAAAAGCAAAAAAAAACTAACGTTCTGTTCCGTGTTAGTCGCTTTCGGACTAGGGCAGCATGAGGCGAGTCAGCATATGGAGGATCTGCTATGAAGATAATAATCCATAACTCAGAGGATTCTGCTACAGGGTTTGCTGCTGTTCACTGATCCTGTTGTCTGCTGTCTGCTCCTAGCAACAAGCAAGAGATCTGACTGGCGAAAGACGCACCTGATCTTTGAGATCCTGATGAAGGGGAACTTTAAGTTTTGAGAACGGGTTGCCTTTCAATTTCTGCGCCCGCTGGTTGTATTCCCTGAGCAACTCATCCCTGCACACAGTCCGTCAACAGTGGTATCAATCATCAAAGCACTTTGCATTCCACAGGCATAATGACAGGTGCAATGTTATAGCTGGCCAACTTTTCTAACTAAGCGCTAGACAGGGTTCAGGTGAAGATCTGATGCTAGCTTTTGAGAACAAGGACTTCGCAGAGTTCAGCCAAACATCGGAATTCCATACTCTCCACCTATTTTGTGGTGGATTGGAAAGTGAACCCAAAAACATGTCCAAGAGGCAAAAGTCACAAAAGGAGTAATGCCAACAGTATTAACACGTTAAACCACCAGTTCCTCCGGAAGTCTTGGGTGCTATACCCTTCGGCCTGTATGTGCCTGCCTGCACCAGGCGAAATTCATTTATGATGAGCCATCTCGCCATTGTAGCGATAGCTCAGAAAGGTACTGGTAGTTCAAACAAAATTGGCCGTTCAGTATATGTTTACTGTAAAGATCGGCCAAAAGTTACGGGTCAGAAACATATTTTTCCTTACAGGGAGCATGCCGGTCGGACCTGGCGGTCAACTGGCCCGGGAGACCCCTGGTCCAACTCAGCGCATCACGCTGGGGGAGGGGTACCAGGGAGGTACGGACATCCCGGCGATTGCCTGGCCCCCAGGAGGTCGCTGTCCTCTTTGAAAAAAAAAAAGGACCCCACAATGTACGTCTTTAAAAAAATGGGGGAAGCATCTCCAGCGCTGATCTTCATAGATCAGTGGCGGAGAACCCCTGCAAGCTTTTTATAAGATGCAGGGTTAAATAGACACTGTTTCTCTTTGGCATCGTGTGGCCCAACGGAGTCGAACGGACCACAGGCCTCATACCATTGCCCGGCTGCTACACGTCCAACCTGAGCCAGAAGGTGCACAATGTGATAATGCTGGGACATTGCTGAGATTACATGCTTCTGCAACGTCCCTCCACACTGGAAGAAAAGCTATGGGTTTGGGTTTTGGCTCGTGAAGCGAGAATAACAACGTGGTCCGAGGTCCACGCTTAAGAATGGACCTCGTTTTGCTACATGTAGCTGGACAGTCTGATAACCCACTATGTAGGGGGGGGGAGGGAAACGCTCTGCCTGCACGAGCTGTAACCTGAACCCATAAGTTTTGGCAAGGACCTCTTTCCGACATAGTTCGTTCAGCCTCCAGGGTCCAATGTGTAATGGCATAGCCATTGACACCCTTCCATGCTAAATGGAAAGTTTGGAGAACCGAGGGTCTGATGAGTGAACTTGTTTACTTGACCCAAGGCCATATCTCCCTGAACCATCCCAATAATACTTTCCCCCTCCCCCTGGGAAGTGCAAGGAAAATGAGCAATAGCGAGATGACAGAATCCAGATTGCACAATCATATTCAAAGCCGGGAAGTCCCAGTGTCCAGAAAGCAGCATTGCACCAATATTACACCAATGGAGAATCGAAACACTAAAACCTAATGCCAATGAGAGCTTACTCTCGTCATCACCAACATAAGTATCCAGGCCCTTCCCTGTACTTGGCGCTCGGCGCCCAGACGACTTCCACACAGCTACTTCCTGCCTACGGATGCAACTGTTGATGTCAGCAGCCTCCGAAGTACACGAAGATGTCGCCTCTTGCAGACTATCACCATAACCTGGTTTGTGCCCTCGCGTCATCCTCCTCATCTCTCTCTTACTCTCTCCCTTGTCTTTCACCCACATCTTCTCCTTCACATCCGAAGACCACCACTAGCCCCTTGCTGTGTATCCAAGCCCGGCTGGCTATGGAAGCCGAGCTATGGGCAGCGCCCTTTTCCTTACACGACCGCAAGTGCACAGGCACCTTGCACAGCGCAGCGCACAGCATGCGAGCGCAGGCTCAAGTAGCGCTGCCGCGCGAGTTGCAGGTGCCCGAATGAGTCCCCAGGAAGCAAGCACTTTGCTATATTGAAAGAGCTCAGCCTGGCCTGCGGCCTGGCTGGGCTGGGCCTGCGCCCAGAAGCTTCCGGTAGGCCCCGGATGGCTGGGCCTTTGCTGTTACCGCCCTGGGCCCCGGTTGGCTGTGCCTCCCCAACTGCCAGTCGTATATACCGCTGCAGATGCGGCCCAGGGCCTGCTTTGAAGAAAGGCCAGGAAGGCCGAAACAAAGTGTGGCTGGCCGCGGTCTAGTCCGACACCTGTTGGATCAGGAAAGCTCAACCGGCCAGTTGCCGGCCCAGCCCTGCCTTAAACCCTTGTCAACATGCAAGAGAAAGAGTGTCCTTCCAACTTTTTCATTTCTGAAAACATCTTCTAAAATTGGAGCGTAAGATACAGAGAGGATCAGCATGGCCCCTGCTCATTGGAACAACAACAACAACAACAAAAAAAAAAAAAAAAAAAAAAAAAAAAC